GATATTTATCATTAGTCCTTTAGCTGACTTCGGGCTTCACGGAGGGGAGGAGTATCAAGTCATAAAAAGTCGAGAGGGGGAAGGGAAGAGTGATTCACAGATGTGAAAGAGACAAACAGACACAAAGGTAGGGAAAAGGTAAAGTGAGTACCGTGAAAGTGGGTAGATATTATATACAGTGGGGTCATGGTATTTTGAAGTCAACTTCCGATTTATGAACTTTAATGGCCGTATGTGTGTGCGTTGCCCAGAGTGAATCACGTGGAGGTAAGTCTATCTTTCACCCCGATTTCTTTAAATTGAAAATCATAATCATGTTTTAAAATAAGTATCCCAAGTTAGATCTACATCAATTAGGCTAGACAAAATCTTCTTCCAGAATCGGGATTTGTAGATCTTCTTTTTATCAAGCTTGTTGAACAGCATTCTCTGGTAGGCTAAAGGTTACACGTAATATTGAATATAACATTCCCCGTAGAGGTAAGTGATCGAACATCATTTAGCTATTTTCTGCAATTGAGGGTGAGCTTTTATCGACTAATGACCCTGAAACCCAACAGAATTAACGTGGGGCTTCTGCTCAATATTTCAAGACTTCTCAAAGCGAGTGCACACTTTCTCCTTAAAATTGGCGTAATTGAAGTGCAATCCCTTTAGTCAATGTCTAAACCTATTTTCGTCCATTCATCCATCCCGGACAGTTTGAAGTGACAAAGTCTCTCATTGAAACCAATCTTTATAGAATTATTGGTTTGAGGACCAGAATTCTCCCAATTTATCTCCCCCCCCCCTCCCCTCCTCCCCAATTGGTGACACTTATTGGTAGCTGTATTACCCTTGTTAAAATCAGCCCTTTTTAATCGTCTACTCCGGGAACAATCTCAATTTAGTTGGTAAAAGGACGAAAAGGACTCGACCTCATTTATTGGTGTAATATTCACTTTTTCTGAGTAACTTGTGATACATCGTTCAAACGGGGGAAATTCATTGAGGGCGACGCGATTCTAGTCATCTCTCAATTGAGCAGCTTATGATTGGTTGTCTTTTGATTAAATTTGCCAGAATTAGGAACAAAGTATTTAATTCACCTTAAGAGTCATTGCTCCGTTTCAAGTAATCAAGTAAATTTTGAATGACACTCTGATTAATCATTGGCCAAATATGGAATGGGTTGCATAAGCATGGACTTATGAACGTCAAACTCTAATTGAATCGTCTGCCACCAGCATCAGTGAATCTACGAAGTCATCTGGGGATCGTACGATTATTCGCCCACATTTCATACGTTTTCTCAATCACCATAATCTAAGATTTCTCCTCTTGTTCCAGAATCCACGCTAATAAACAATAAATGGTATTTTATATTTATAGTCTTTTATTTATCTTATTATTCTTACAGAACTTTGTTTTACTAAAACACTTTTTATATTTTACGCTCTCATTTTTAATGACGATTGTGATTATTGCTATCATGGCCACGCCACCAGCGACTGAAGTGTTTTCTACGTTCTCGTTCACCGCTTATATTCCTAGGCCCTGAAACGTGACCACGGGAGATAGAATCATCATCTGAAAATGTAATTGATGCATTGCGTTGTCTTTGGAGCCTCTTGTTTCTATCATTTGTGGAAAATCCACCGTTAATGACACTTGGATCGCGTGGAGTATTATGCCTCGACATCCGGTATGTAATTCTATTCCTAGACCCGCGGTATCTGTCGTCCAAGATGGAGCTATCAGAGCTTGAATCACTTGAGTTGTAGGCATACACTACCCGACTTACTGCTCCATTCGGATGGGGTCTATTTCTCTCTCCATGTCTACTTCCAGTATCATCTGAAATGAAATACAATATACATGCGAAATGGAGCATTATAGGCGATGAAAATAGGGAGAAACTTTTTGACCTGCACACAATGAACAATTGCAATCCGAATTGTATCGATTGCGTTGATAACTTCTCTTTCGATTTGAGTGTGAGTGGTAGTATTGATCTCTTCTCGTATTGACCCACTGCTTCATTTTCAAAACTAACTTTGTGTCTATAATAAAATATAAACATAGGCGACAGTTGAAATTAAATCTATTATTGTAGTTTCTAGGAAAAAGACAATTAAATAGATAGTAAATAATGGGAAATATCAGGGCAAGTTTAGATTTTATCATGACTTATTGGCAAAAGGGTAAACAGAATTCAATCTCTCAGAAGACGCTATTTTAATACTCCTAAACCACAGAAAATGGCTGAATGCTGAATTTTTTCTCTCCAAATAAGTGATAAAACAAACTCACCAACCATAGAAGTCGTGATGCTATAGTTGCGCCTTAAATACCTCATCCAAACACTATTCTTAATAAAAATCTAAAATTTTGACATCGTTTTATAGCACCAGAATTGAGATATGAATGGATGACCATCTCACCTGCTACCCCCCGAGAGGTAAATTGAACTTGGCTCCACTGGCCTTTTAACACAAATCGCCTGACCTTTTATATACTCATATATTTGTAAAATATTTAAAACTTTCTCACCTAGGTAATATGATGCGTAATGAGTGCGATGGTATTCCCACCTTATTGCGACTTTCAACATTTCCCAGTAAGCCATCGAACATTGCTTTGAAGCAAGTGGTTCTACTTGTGGAAAATAGGCCATCATTATTAATCCGTTTGTTGGGTCACTGAAAATGAAATGATTATTTAGGTTCGTGTATTTTAAATAAAAATACTAATATTGTTTCAGATTTTTTTCAAATTTGCCGAAAAAATCGGCGTCTTTAGAAATTGTCTCTCATTAAAAGACAACTATTTCTTAATTGCAAAAGATTGATTGTATTTTTTGTTGGCGTATTTAATAGTCAAGCAGCTAGCAGAAGAGGAGAGTTCCAGATTGTTTCCATTCGAAATGAACAAAATTAGAAGAAGTATGTAGATTTGCCCTTCTAAGTGAGTGGATACGGTACAAGCGATTAAACATGAGCAATGAAAAGTGACACAAGAGCTTCAAAAGTCACCTCTTTAAGGGGTTTCCAAAAGCTTTGGCGCACAATTTGTCTGCAGTAGATTATGGCACGTTTCATAATATGCTAATGTGGAAACTTTAACATCTGTGCAACTCTAATCACGATATTTAGGGCTTTATGACTGATTGATTCAGTTCATTGGTTTAGGTGGGTTGAAACCAAGTGAAGGTTAATGAACTCTACGACGGCTTCCAACGTGTGAATGCCCTCTAAACTTCATTCAAGGTGGTGTTAAAAACGTAGTTTTATGCTAAAAACTTATAGTATAGTATTCAGACAAACAAATAAGCTGGGTATATAGATTCGTTGATTTCTCACTTCTATAATACTTAGCTATAAAGCGCCTGAACCATTTTTACTGTTTTACTAATAATACATGAAGTCACTGACACTGGATTATTTGCCGAAATTTCCATGACTATGGATATTTCTATCTTTGTTTTTTTTACTTCTTAAAACTTGGGAAACCTTGAAGAATTTATTGATCTGCATAGAATATTTACTGCATCAATCCCATACATTGCTTCTACAGATTTGCATGCACCTTGCAGTATCACACAGTAAACGTTTTCAACTCGGTGGAGACATAGTCGTGAAAGTCAAATGCTTACTTCACGTGGTTATTGGCCTAACTTAACAATTCGTTAAACTCTTACATTAAGTGCTACTTCAAACACATGTCAACAGATTTCGCTGTTTTTACACCTTAATCTTCCAGAAATTAAGGCCTTCATTATACCTATGCAGTTGCAACAGTGAGTCCATCGATGGCGTTGAAACACTGTTTGCGTTTATTTATACTTTGGTAAGTTCTCTTTAGATGAAACTTGGAATTCTGATAGGTATGATAATATTTTTCTTGGACTAAGTTGCACGGAGGCCTCTTAAATTTGGACTTTCAGTAATTTTTCGAGTAATTCATCGATCTAATCTTAGAAAAGTTTTGAGACGATAAATATTGCTTCCAAGTTCATCCCAATGTGTGCGGTTTTAACATCTCCTTTCTTCCTAACAACAGCTAAAATTTCTGCTCAAGCTAAAGCTTATGAGTATTTAATACAAATAAATGATGAATGATTAGATTAAAATTTATATGGCAAATTTTGTTTAATCAGAGTCAGACAACAAAGGTATTATGTAAAGTTAGGCATTTCAGTGACTTCTTCAGACTGCTAAAACACTTAATATTTATTGATACAAACTTTTGAACTTAAATAATAAAATTTGCGAGCAAACTTTACTTGTAATATCACTTTAAATAATATAAGCGACTTAAATAAGCAGCTTATTTTCGAATAGTTGACCTTGATACCCGTGGGATAAAACTGACTTGAACAAACATTAAATTCATATAATCTGCAGACTAATATTCTCTAGTTATCACCCCAGTATTTGTTTTCTAAAGCATTTTTTAAGAAACAATGTGGTAGTCTTGGAAAATTAGGATGTTATCGCAATTACCATTCTCACTTGATGGTGGTAATCAAATTTCAATTCCTATTTTCTGTCAATTGAGGTGCTGTATTTTTCACACTCATAGATGTCATTAACTCCTTGTAAAATCCTTGTCCATTTCCCATTTGCACTAATTTTATTTCATTCTTACATAAATAATTTATGACGAAAGTAATTAGTAGACGAACTAATAACTTTATTTTTGTGAATACTGAAACAATATTTTTATGAAAGTTGAATGTAAAGATAATTCATTTGTTAAATTTTATGGATAATTTTAAAAAGACTTAAAAATACTGCAAGCATTTGGAAATGTCAATAGCTTGCTGTTTCGTTTTTATGTCAAATTCTATTTGATCATATTTACCTCTTTTGCCCAAATCGTGTGCGTACTTCCATTAATTACTTTCCCAAACTCCTTCTTGTTAAGAATCAACGCATCTGTCTGTGGCTTATTCTTATATTCTTTCCATTACTCTCAATTCCTTACTCTTATTGCCATCTATTTATTTTAAGTAAACTCTTAACCGAATTCTTCTGACTTTTTATACTTTACGGGAGATATTTATGCATCTTATGGTCAAAGAAAAACTTTTAGTAGGGTGTGCGCCGAGGAAGCGTTAACCAACGTTTGAATTCGAATCGCAGTTTAATTCTTAGTCAACAGAAGTGATAGAATACGAATTTCTTTCAAGACACTTTTTTGCTATACCCACGTCATGTGCCTTGAACACCCCCCCCCCCCCCCCCCCCCCCCCCCACCACCACACCTGGATTTGAGGAGTGTTTAGTGGTCTACTACTTTTCATCCACGTTAGCTAAGTTGAGTTCTTTTAAAGCTGAAGACTAAAGTTTTGGAAGCCGACGGTGAGACGAGAGTTCGAGACGCCAGAGCTAACTATATGGGCGGAGAGATGACGCTGTCATCTGGTATCGGCTTTACCTAAACTTCATTTTAGCTAAACTTTAAATACCACCAACTTTAAAATTTTAAGGACAGTAAAACTTCCAATTCCAAATCACCCATTTATTAAAAAATGAAGTACATGAGCAAACATTATGTCATATTTTGAACCTTTTACATGTTCCTACTTAATTTAATAAGTAGAACCAGATATATTTCTAATCTTAATATCAATTTTTAAAAGATATTACTTTTATCTCACTCTCCCAGAAATACAATCACTTCTTAAGGATATATTCTTATTAATAAATTTTAGTAATAATGATCTGGCTTCAATACTCACATCCACCTCCTTTGCATTGAAAGAATGCACAAAACAGTCGCAGTTGCTTGATCAAATCTCAATTAAAGTAATTGGTCAATAACTATTGAATGAAGGAAATATGAACTCGAATGCAGATATTTGAACCCTGAGGCATCAAGGCTATTATAAATGGAGTGAGGTACTTTGGCGTGCTGGGTCATACATTCTCATTAATTCCTATTAAATAAATTTGATATTCCTTATTTGGGATGCTTTTCTTCAAATAATAGCCGAAAAATTTTCATGGCCGGTCTATTAGTAGTCCATCTATTAAATAAGAATATTAAGATGATGGAGTGAAAAATAAATGTAGCTGATAATTGTCTAAAAGAAGCAGCGCTTTCTTTGTTCATATGTCATGGCTTTTATTGCAAAATTCGACACTTGGTGCATACATTTATTAAATGCCAATTTGAGTGGGCAGTGGTAAGTTCTGTTTGGTTTAAATTATTTTTGTTATACTCATCTACTCGCTAATAGTTATGGGGGGTTGCCATTCAATAGAACCAACCATTTACTAAGCTGTGAATGTCACTGACTTATACTCAATCCGAAGCTAAAAAAGTATAAATAATTCAAATTTTGGCCTTGGAATATTGGAATAACACTTACGCTAGACAGACCTTATTATATACTATAATATTCAATCCCTCCTCTCCTTTTATTCATAATTGCACTATTTATTTTATATTGAGGGATAGGGGTGTGCGATAGACTTACCTCCACGTGGTGCACCCTGGGCAGCGTATACTCATACGGCAAAAAGTCTATTAACCGGCCCCTTCGATCCCTTCCACAGTACTCACCTTACCTTTTTCTCTACCTTTGTGTCTGTCTGCCTCTTTCATATCTGTGAATCGCTCTTCTGTTCCCCACCCCTCGACTTTCTGCTACTTTGATGAACCTTCCCTCTGTGAAGCTCGAAGTCAGCTAAATGGCTAATGATAGCTATCAAAACGCCTGCCAATTGAAATAAATTTTATTTATTTGGAAGTAAGTTCTTCTAATCATGAATCAAATTATAACTATAGATTCGAATGTTTTGCACTCCTGAGTCAAACTAGACTGTGTATTTTAAGTCGGGACAATATTTTTGAGTTAAGTTGAGCCAGATATTACACCAAATA